GGACCTGATTGATACCTGTTACTAAATTGCTGTTAAGTTCAAGTTTACTTATTTCGAGCTGTAAATTTTTGTAGGAAGCCACTAGCCCGAATCGAACATTGGACCTTGCATCTGCTCTTGAAATCGGGACAGGTGGCAGTAAATCGTCTCACGGCATGTCCAATGCGAGCGGGACATCAAGGTCCGTTATGACAATCGCGTTTCAGTTTGCTTTCGAAAGCCACATGCAAGAAGAAGTGGCAAACATGGCCCGACAATATGTCCGCACCATTATTTCATCCGTTCAAAGGGTGGCTTTGGCTCTGTCCCCATCAAACATGGGCCCAAATATCGGGCTTCGGCTTCCGCTTGGAACTCCAGAAGCCCAAACCCTGGCCCGTTGGATCTGCCAGAGTTACAGGTGAACTTAGAAAATGCTATTATTGAACTAAGATACACTAAATGCTTTATGTAACTAAAGAAAAAGGACATCTTTCTTTGTTTAAGGAACTATATGGGTGTGGATCTTCTCAAATCAAATGGCCTGAGCAGTGAATCTATGCTTAAAGCTCTTTGGCATTACTCGGACGCGATTCTTTGTTGCTCCCTTAAGGTAAATATTTTGTTCATATCCCGATTATTTTCGTGCTGCATTTCTTTTTATAACTTTTCTTGACTATTAATCTCGAAATATATTTAACAATGCAAACTTGCTTGTGAGCTTTTTGCAGGCCATGCCCGTTTTCACGTTTGCAAATCAGGCTGGTCTAGACATGCTGGAGACTACACTTGTCGCACTTCAGGATATCTCACTCGAAAAAATATTCGACGATCATGGCCGAAAAAATCTATGCTCCGAATTTCCACAGATAATGACTCAAGTAAGTTATTTTAACTTTTGAGAAATAAAACAATATAGCTATGTTTTGGTAAAACCAACTTATAATAAAAGTGTTTGGTACAATTAGTTGATATGCTAACTGAAATAGAAATTTTAACAAACTTATTTGAAAAGTTATCCAAGGAAGTTTATGAGATAAACTTGAGTTCTTTACAATAGTCTGTCCTACTAAACGAAACTTACTCGACTACAAAGCTTTTAAGCTAGCTTATTTGGTTACCAAAGATAGTCATAGCAGTCAGCAGACTCAACAAAGTACATGTTATTCATATTCGAGAAATAGAAAATGCCCCTTCATTATATCTAAGTACAATTTCAAGAATTAGAACACATCAATTTGAACTGTAACACTACAGTTTGCACTTATATAATGACACAACTGCTTTTCTTTATCTTGCCTCAAAACACGTCTTCTCAAATTTGAACTATTTGGTTAGGGTTTTGCATCCCTTCCGAGTGGTATATGCTTGTCGAGCATGAGCCGGCCGGTGTCCTACGAAAAAGCAGTGGCTTGGAAAGTGATGAACGAGGAAGAAACTGCCCATTGCATCTGTTTTATGTTTGTCAATTGGTCGTTTGTTTGATCTTTTGTTCGGCCAATAGTTGTTGTAGGGAACCCTCAAACCGTGAATGGCTTTTTCGTGATGGTTTTTTTCGTTTTTAGTTAACTACTAAAACGGTTGTGAACCTAAACTTTCGTCGTTTGTTCGTCTTTTGGTTCGTGTGATTCCAGGATGAAAAACTCAGTATTTGTGGGATGATGTTTTGTAATTGTACCTCTGCTTTTGGATTGAACTTCTTTAAGTAGACCTTTTGTGAGATTATGTGTGGATTAATGTGTGGCACAAAATGAAAACTAAACAAGAAAAATGATTAAAGGCTATGTAATAGTGAGATGAGTGAAGAACTTGAAAGAATTTACTTTCCGACCTTTTTCTTTTTTCTTCTGTGGATTTGGAATATAAACATGTAAATGTTATTCTTCGGTTACTTTTATTTTGGGATCCAAAGTAACAAAAGCATAAATCTTTTGATATGGGTTTTCTCACTCTTTTTTGTTTTTTTTCCCATTTTGCATGAAAATTAAGAATGAATTTTAAAGAACTGTCTTCTTTTATTTTCCCATTTTGAAGAACTGTCTTCTTTTTGTTACAACAACATTTAAAGTAAGAGGAGATTAAGAGTGTACTATGATTACTACTTTCTTTAATTATGTTTTATGAAATCACTAATCCCTCTTTATATCTTATTTTAAAACGTGTTGAGCTTAAGTGACAGATTCTCACGCTTTTGATGTTGAGATAGCGAAAATCTATGCTTCGTAGTGTTGTTTTTATATTATTTTTGCTCTGGAGTTAAGTTTGAAAACATCTATAATTCTGAAGTTGGATCTGAATTCTGAAGTTGGTAGCATAATATATTTTAAAATTTTAAGGATTTTCACATTCTAAATATAGTTAGATATATTTTATTATGAAAATATAAATTTTATCATTTATTACAATTAAAAAATAAATTGCTCAACCGTATACAAATGTTCACTTATAAAGTTTACTAGGACCATACAAAATTGAAATATCGCGTAGAATTT